TGGTGAAGAGGATAAAAGTAAAAAGTAAAAAGACACACTTCACAATATCCCAAATTAACATATTATTTAAAACATCATGTTATTTCTAAATGAACAACATGGCACTTTTCCCTCAGTTGATAGTACATATGAATGATGTACACAACCCACATAACAGGTTGTAGCGTTTGGGATGTGGCCAGTTGTCAATTTTCTCTGTGTTTGTCTATTTTCTCTTTGCATGGCTCACATACATACGTACATGTAGGAGATCTCGCACTGGGGATGGAGGTAAGAAGGGAAACTCACAATGGCGTTTTCTGCATATATATATATATATATATATATATATATATATATATATATATATATATATATATATATATATATATATATATATATATATATATATATATATATATATATATATATATATATATATATATATATATATATATATATATATATATATATAGTATGTACAGTGCAGTGCTAGGGAGTTGCTGTGTGGTGAGGAGCTTGCTGTGCGGTGAGGAGCTTGTTCAGAGGAGGTCTTGTTTGTTTGAGAGAGTTGAATAGAATAACCTTCACGGTGAGGCTGGGGAGTATTTATGCGATTCTGCAGGATCAGGTAGAGAAGTGTGAAGTGAGTGGCACTGCTGATTGGCTGAGGTGAAGGCGGTAACGGGTCAATCACTGCGCAGTCCGAGAGTGAGGCCCGGTCTGTGAAACTCGCTGCTGATTGGCTGATAAGCGGACGGCAAGTGATCACTCAGCAGTTGTAGAGGAGAGTAGCCACTACAAGGTTATTACTGGTACTATCAATATTTATGGGTTCATTACTCAACATGGGAAAACTATATTTCTGCTAATTATCCTCAATTATATACAACAATAATACTTTGGCCAATATAACTGTAAGGAGTGCCCCAGGGTGTAACACTGGTGTCACCACAACAAACGAAGAGCGCTGTTAGGGTCGGTTGCAGTCCGAAACCCTGTGAGGGAATTCGGGCCTAGTTCCCAGGGTGCAGACTCGCACAATTTAATCGTGCCGAATTAATGACATCCTGCAAGACAGCCAGCTGGTATGCAGCTACCGGTCCCCCAGTGACTGTTGGGTATTCAGCTAACACACACACTGTGCCTAAGATATGATGGAACAGCGACAGAGATGTGACAAAAATAACTCAATCACAAACAATCTTTCATCAGGCAACGACAGACGATATTTACTTTACATTAATTCTTTCACTGGGTAAATGATAATTTCACTGTTACAACATGAACACTGATACTCACAAAATTGTCAGAGTTAATCTGACTTAATAAGGCGGGCGAGAGAACATACACAAACCTGAGATATGATGGAACAGCATCAGAGATGTGACGCTGCTCCTAGTACACGAGTTTATATACGGCTATCTGACAACTCATGCCAGTGCACTACATATGCCAGGAAGGCTAATCACGCAATGACAGAAATTACATTCAACTCAGTTGTTGTACATTTAACTATGAAAATCAATGCCATGGGTCAGGTGAATTTCCTACGTCTATTTATATAATCTAATCCGAGATTGAGCTTGCCAGGAAAAATTGAAATGGACGTCAAATACACACATTAACAACACTATTTTCACAAACTCAGCGAAACTACAAACAAGGAACTATTCACGGGGATATATTAGATTTTGGAAATTATGTGGGTTTATGAGATATTGATGTACACTCAGGATGGGATGGAGAAAGGAAACTCACAATGTGCTCACTGTATACATATTGTATTGGATGTACAATGCAGCTTGTTGCTGGGAAGGCAGCATGGTAACAAGCGTTGAATAGGAGAGAGCTGGTTGGTGAGGGTGCCCAGAGGAGCACACGGCTTGAGGGACGCCGAGGTCGCCGGCGGAAGCGGGAGCCGCCAGGCTGGCGCGGAGGAGGAGGTGTTGCTTGCTGGTGGCACTGGGTAGAAAGAGAGTGGTCACAGCGGTGTCAGGCCTCATAAGGCGGGGGTAGGCGTGGGTTGATAGTTGACCTCCACTCTGTAGGCGGCGCTGGAGGCGTAGGCTGGGGAATTCGAAAAGGTTCGGCTACTCAGCGACACACGGCACTTGTAGGGGAGGAATCCACTACAATACTCCCCTTCCCCTACAGGCGCGGCGGGAGGCTGGAGGTTGGCAGGGATACGTGCCACATGTGAGGCAGAACGGGCGGTGTATGCCACATGTGAGACACGAGGGCGTAGATGAGCCGGCCGCTAGGGGGGGCAACTCTGTCTGGATACACAAGATCTGTGGGAGAAAAGAGGGAAAAGGAGGGTTGTGGAGGTGATGAATGTTGTGTTTCCCTCGAGGCAGGTACAGAGTCCTCAGATGTGCCTGCTGGGGTGTGTGGGCCTGGGTCAGGAGCAGGGACTGCATCAGCAGGAAGAGGGTTCATGACAGCAGCAGGGTGCATGACAGCAGCAGGGTCCACGACAGCAGCAGGGTGCAGGACAGTAGCAGGGGGTACCTGAGGGAGAAAAGAGGGGTGTGTGGGTCCGCGTCAGGAGCAGGGGCCGCGGCAGGAGTAGCGGCAGGGGGTACTGCTAGGCCGGGGGCGGCGTCTGAGGCAGGACGGGTGTGTTGGGGTCTGCGTGGATAAGCCAGTCTTCCATGTTGCTTGAAGACTAGGAGAGTGATCAGTTTCTCCTCCATCCTGTGTGAGTGCAAATCTCCGGGGGTCACCATTTGTGGGGTTATGAGATATTAGTTCACACTCAGGATGGGATGGAGAAAGGAAACTCACAATGTGCTCACTGTATATATATTGTATTGGATGTACAATGCAGCTTGTTGCTGAGAAGGCAGCATGGTAACAAGGGTTGAGTAGGCGAGAGCTGGTTGGTGAGGGTGCCCAGAGGAGCACTCAGCTTGAGGGACGCCGAGGTCGCTGGCGGAAGCGGGCGCCGCCAGGCTGGCGCGGAAGAAGAGGTGTTGCTTGCTGGTGGCACTGGGTAGAAAGAGAGTGGTCACAGCGGTGTCAGGCCTTATAAGGCGGGGGTAGGCGTGGGTTGATAGTTGACCCCCGCTGCGTAGGTGGCGCTGGAGGCGTAGGCTGAGGAATTCGAGAAGGTTCGGCTACTCAGCGACACACGGCGCTTGTAGGGGAGGAATCCACTACAATTATACAGGTTGACAGAATCGTTCAGGAGATTAATGACTATCTTAAATAGACAACTGACATTAACTAAACTACAAACATCAGATTCTCTGATGTTTGGGCATCAAAATGATCTAATTTCAGTTGTACTTATAAACTCATGGCTATCCCCAAGGACGATATAAGGACATGCCGCTCGTACTGGCAGACTTGACACTCACTTACTTATAAAGTTTCACAAACAATAAAGACAGTTGAAGATTTCAACATCACTCACAAGGGATCTTGAATGTTTCATCTGTAATCAGGCATATCTAAGTTGCCTTAACAGATACGACTACAGTTGCAATTTTAAATTTTGTGTCATTATACTATGGGATACGGAGTCACGGATGCTCTATAATATTGAGAGAAAACGGAGGACTCAGGCATCCTGAAGCGATGAGAAAACGGATGCCTCAGACTGGGGACTCAATAAAGAAGGCATAGATACATGTTTTGTGGACTATTGAGCGTAATATGAATCGTCTGATTTTACGTTAACTGACGTCTACGACCGTGGTCATTACAATGGCACCGAGTATGAGCTCTTTCAAGACCAGACTTGACCAACACTGGAGCAGGTTCAGGTACATTCAGGAGCCGGTGCATGCCCAGTACTTGCCAACAGTGCGTAACAGACGTGACCGATCGATCGCCCAAGCAGCTAACGAGCCGATCATTTGGTGAAGAGGATAAAAGAAAAAGAAAAGTAACAGAGACGTGACCGATCGCCAAAGCGGCTAACGAGCCGATCAGTGGTGAAGAGGGTAAAAGTAAAAGTAAGTAAGGAAGTGATTGACTGACTCCTAGCCTGCTCGTAGGTGTTTTTATACTTCATCATACGCCCCTCGAACATCCTCGCACCACCCAGAGACGCCTGGTATATTCTAGACCGTTCTACTCTGATCGAGGCTTACAATAACAAGTAAACCATAACTAAAATGATGTAATACATTCTAGAATATTTTTACATAATTAATGCATCAATATATACACGGAAATTTCACTAAATTTGTCAACATAACTTCTGCATTGGACAGAAAACAATAAAAACACCTAGTTTACACAATTATAATACGAAATCATGCCTCGACATAACAGTATTCATTCTTGCAAACTGCTAGTAATATTGTAAATCCTCCATACTCAAAACTATTTTGTGATGTTGTTCGGGTTTTGTAAGTCATATGTAAACACTGATATGTCAATGGCCAATTATTGAAACCCTCTTTGAAAAAGCAGCAAGGACCCACCCAGTCAAATGAGACTAATAAAGCTGTTTTTCCTGATAAAAACTAGCCGGAAATGAGTGTCATTAAGATTTACCATGAATCGAATTAATTTAACAACCTAACGAGCCGATCATTTGGTGTAGAGGATAAAAGAAAAGGAAAAGTAACAGAGACGTGACCGATCGCCCAAGCGGCTAGCGAGCCAATCAGTGGTGAAGAGGATAAAAGTAAAAGTAAAAAGTAACTCACGTCTTAAATTTTTTTATTGTTAATAATCACCAAGTACTGTACCCGAGTGTGAGACTGTGAGCTCATTCAAGGCCTGACTTGACCAACACTGGAGCAGGTTCAGTTACAGTACATTCTGGAGCCAGTATATGCCCAGTACTTGCCACAGTGCGTATCAGAGACGTGATCGACCGCCCAAGCGGCTAACGAGCCCATCAGTAGCGAAGAACGTAAAAGAAAAAATAAGTACTGTAAAGTAAAGCCTATACTATGTGTTTAAAGAGCTTTGTTGTTAACGCGCAGTAATACATTTATAGTATCACAAACGTCCCGAGTTAAATATACCGAATATTTCACTATATCCTGTGATAACATTAAAGGTTTGTTCAGTGGTAACTAGTTAAATGCAACATGTCACCTCATATCTCAGCCGGGCCTTATTACTTTACCCACAGTGCACATTTCCTCGTTCTTTAAAAACGCTGTTTATATGGTTAATTGAAATTGCTTCGCTCCAATTCGCCTTTTGGAGACAGAAGTTGGGTCGGCTGTGTGACGTCACCGTGAAAACAAACAGTTGACAGTGACCATGGACGAGATCATCGCAGGTGACTACCCTCTCTCTTTATTACATAACAAATAAAACATCACCTGAATGCATTTGAATTCATTATTTATATATTTCTCTCTTGTCAGCTACTTGTCAAGTTTATGAGGTGATTGTCAGTGAATACAAGGAGTGGCCGGAATAAATAAGGAGAATGGAAGCCCAAAGCTGAAATGATTACTTGACTCATAGTTAACAAGGAAATACTTTCCTGATCATACTCGTAATATAGGTTTGGGAACTTAACACTGTAATCAGTATGAGATGTAATAATTGATGTATTTAACCCATTATAAATAGGCAGGATTGCCTATCATATGTGAAAAGAAAATACTGTCTTGGTTAATATTGGAATAGGGGTTTAGTAGTGTTTCTACTTTATGCCTTGATAATGTTTGTTTATGGGACCTTTGAGGTAATACTGGAAGAGACGATTATCCCCAGCAGGAGTTTATAGAATTAATAAATTTTGGTATTATTGCATTTTTGCACACAACATTCCTACCCTAATCTATTATCATATTTGAATAAGACGTCTAATTATAAGATAATTGTCTTCTATTACATTACCGTTGCAAATGTATAATAACGGAGGTAGCGTATCCCAAATTTTCTCTATTTCTTCCATTAATCTTCCGCCATTATCACCTACCTCACCTCCTACATTGCGTGTCTCCTTCATAAATCATCACGCGCATGCGTTCCCGTACATGTCACGCGGCCAATCAAAAGCCTTTTTTATTTTTTTTTTTGGCAACCAATTACAATGATTTGTGGTTTAATTCACGGTATTTTTGGCCCAATCAAATTCGATTTTTATTTTGGGTCTCATATCTCGAAATTCAAATTCATTTCCAACAATGAAAGTCTGCGTTGGGTGTCACTTCAATTATATGGAGCTGATTCGAGTTGTGGGGAAAAAAAAACGAAACTATAGCATTTTTTTTATCTCGTGGTGTTTTCCCGACCTCAGTATTGTGCTGAGTGCAAGAACGAATGTAAATATCGTCAAGACCAACATATGTGGCATTGTGGTAACTCGAACTAGAACCAGGCCAATAAGGTAGGAAATAAGTGATTCCATCATATGGTGAGAGTCAGTTAGGTTAGGTTAAGTTAGGTCAGGTTTATGTTTTTCTTTTTGTGTATTTTGTATTCACTTAGCCATAATTTTTGTCGGAAAACACTGTACCAAAAAATAAAAATAAATAAATATATGATAAAAAAACCGGCCAATTTCCGACGGATATGAAGGTCATAACCAATTTAAACATAAAATACACTAGAAAAACATATTTTTGACTTTCTAACAGAGTTGTGTGCACTTATGCAAATTAACCTAAATTTTTTCCAAGGTTGTTGTTTGGTTGATAATAATAAATAGGTACAGGATACAGGTCCGGCAGCCGTATGTGAAATGTCGATGTGTATTGGTCCGGCAGCCTAATGCTCAAATGTGGTGGACAGACTGTATAATGATAGTTACTAAGATTGTCGTCTTTCTGGCTAACCTAACCTAACCCAAGGAATCTAATACTGTACTAGAGAAGGTTAGCCCTCTCATTGTTATTTTTTTTCTCTGTGATGGTGATGATGCCAAGCGGCTGGGGAGTGGCAAACACATTAATCCCATTGCAGCTTAGATGATGATGTGCGATAACACCAGATTATTAAATAAAAACTATATATACTCAGTAGATTATTGACATCCAACTTTACATATATAAGGATAATTTTTCAAAGCCACACATTGATTATTTTGCAGTAAAAGATAATTATTTGCCTACTTAGTGAAATGTTCTACCTCTGGTTCTTCAGTATGAGCGATGGTGATAGCTACTGCTTTACACTAATTTTACATCATTTGGGTCTTTTTTATTTCATGTACCGTGTCCAAAAATATATACGTATCGTATATATAAAAAAGGATTTTGAATGCAGATTTTCCTGCTGATTCAAAAAAAGTAAATAATTTTTGTCTCTTGTGAAATGATTTTTGAAAAAGATACAGTACAGTATATTGTTTTTATTAGATTAGGTCTTTTCAGTTTCATGTACTGTGTCCCAAAAATATAGAAAGATGTTTCTGAATGTAGATTTTCATGCCAATTCCAAAAATATAACCTAACCTAATAAATAATATACTGTACATCTTTTTCAAAGCTTATTTCTAAAAAATATATATATATATATATATATATATATATATATATATATATATATATATATATATATATATATATATATATATATATATATATATATATATATATATATATATATATATATATATATATGATTATCTTGAAAATGTACATTGAAAAACATATTTTTATATTTTTTTTTACACGACATGATACCGAAAATACCTAACCTAATCTAACCTACCTAATAAAAATAATATATGGTGTCTTTAAAACAAAAAATTAAGGCTGTAGGTTTTAAGCTTAGGCTCCAATAATGTACAGTGATTCCTCGGTTAACTAACGCCTCGGTTAACGAATTACCTTCCATAAGAATCTTCAATTCGGTTAACGAAATCCTTACGAATTCCTTTCAACATGTTTTTGCTTGCTCACCAGCTGTAATATTAGTCCGCCAATACAGTAATAGGTTCTAGGGCTTAAATTCGTTCCCATTTGAGTAAATATCAAGAACGCTGTACCATTCAATAATGTTCCAAGTTTTATATTAATTTTTTTAGTAATCTCTGCTCAGTAGAGTTAACATCTTGCTTGAGACTCTCGTGAACATAAACTATTTTTACGTTTTTACAGTACAATTATTGGTCATTCTGAAGTTTATTTTACATATTGATAATATATAGCGCAGTGCAGTGTTGATTTAAATAAAATAATTTTTAATTACAGCTAGTGAACTTAAAATTTTAGTGGTTATTGAATCTAGCATGTCTCCAAAGAAACCGAGAAAGGTGATTTCAATTCAAGTTAAACAGGAAATCATTAAGAAACATGAAGAAGGCATTAGAACAAATGTGCTTAGTAAAGAATATGGCATGTCGGCATCAACTGTGTCGACAATTATTGCACAGAAAGACAAGTTCAAAGAAGTGAAAGTGAGAGACAAATCTACCAGAGTGTTTAAAGGTAGATCATTAATGGCAGAAACAAAGAGGTTACTTCTTATTTGGATTAGGGAAAAACAAATGAAAGGAGATTCAGTTTCTACTTAATTTATTTTTGAAAGAGCCAGGGAAATTTACGAACATTTGAAGGAAGATCAACCTGGTTCTTCTGGCACAGAGTTTGAAGAGTTTAGGGCCCGCAAGGGCTGGTTCGAAAAATTTAAGAAACGAAGTGAAGCTTTCAGTGTTATTAGGCATGGTGAGGCTGCCAGTGCAGATAAAGAAGGAGCAGCAAAATTTGTAGTGGAGTTTAAGAAACTGGTGGAGGAAGAAAATTATCTTCCACAACAATTGTTCAATGTGGATGAAACTGGGCTGTTCTGGAAGAAAATGCTCAAAAGGACATTCATCACCAGAGATGAAGCCTCTTTACCTGGGCATAAACCCATGAAGGACCGTCTCACTCTATTGCTTGGTGCCAATGTTTCAGGGGATTTCCGACTGAAACCTATGCTTGTCTACCACTCTGAGAACCCAAGGGTGTTCAAGCAACAAAAGGTGGCAAGAGGACAACTTGGGGTTTATTGGAAGTCCAACCGTAAGGCATGGGTGACAAGACAGCTCTTTAATGAATGGGCTGTTGAGGTGTTTTGCCCTTCTGTGAAGAGCGACCTACCCACCAATAAATTCCTTTTAAAGGCTCTTTTCCTCATGGATAATGTCCCTGGTCATGACCCTCAACTTGCCAGCACTTTGGAGGTTCGATTTGACTTTGTCAAAGTGTTGTTTTTGCCTCCCAACACTACATCAATCATACAGCCAATGGACCAGAATGTGATCAGCAACTTTAAGAAGCTGTACATGAAGAAAATGTTCAGGAGGTGTCATCAGGCAACTTCCACTGATCCTGAACTAACACTGGCACAGTTCTGGAAGACACAATTCAACATCCTGGTGGCTGTAAAATTGATTGTGTCCTCATGGCGAGAAGTCTCCATTAGATCCCTCAATTCTGCATGGAAAGCACTGTGGCCATCAGCAGTCCATGATTTTGAGGGATTTGAGGAAGAAACGGAGTTGGACCAGGAGATTGTGTCCATTGGTCAGTCATTTAGCCTCGAAGTGGAGGAGGATGATATGGAAGAGCTTGTGATGTCTCATGAGCAGGAACTTACCACTGAAGACTTGCAGCAACTGGATGAGATGTTAGAAGCTGACAGTGGTGAAGAGGAAAGGGAAAGTGATGACCATATGTCTTCTTCAGACTTAAAAGATGTTGTTTACCACTGGGAGATGTTCAGGAAACTGGCTTCAAGGCACCCTGATGTGAACACAACAGAACCTGTTTCGTGTAATGTTGAGGACAAAGTGGTCTCCTTCTTCAAAAATCAGTTAATGATGAGGAGGAGAAATGCCCCACAAACAAAAATTGACAGTATCTTCACTAAAAGGCAGCGGGAAAAAGATGCTACCCCTCAGCCTTCCACTTCAAAATGGAGAGAGGATTTTCCTGCTGTAGAATCTGTCAATCCAGAGGTTCCTGACATTTTCATGGAAGGTGACTCGCCTTCCAAGAAGCAGTAAAATGCTTCTCCTCCACCCCCACTTCCTTCTCTTCTCCCTTCTCCTCCTCCACCTCCCACTTCAAATTCATACCAGCAGCATCAACCAGGAGCCTTCTACATACACACCTCAAAGTAAGTGTACTTAACTGCATTTTTTTTTTATGTAATTTTCGGTGAGTTGGACGAACAACCTTCTGGAACGAATTGTGTTCGTTAACCGAGGGACCAGTGTAAAAGGTTTTTAAGATCAAGCTACATTATTCCAAGTTTGAATAATTACAGGTGCTCCCCTACTTACGACTGCTTGGACTTACATCCATCGGTACTTACGACCTGCTCTGACCTTACGAT